GGATTTTCCTGAACTGCAGGTGTAAAACATATTTATTCTGGAAAAAAAAACCCTGGAAGAGTGCTTTTTCTCATTATCCTCGATAGAGGAACTTTTATTAAAAGAGGTCAAGCAATAGGGATACAGGGAGTAAAAACAGATTATAAGGTTGGAATTCTAGCTCATTCTTTTGTGCACTCTTTCATTGATGATATTTCTGCCCTAATGTCTTCTCTGGGGGGCAGGAGGAGGGTTGATACTTCTAATGTTCGGTCAGATATGGTCCCAAGTCAGTCAGAGAATGTGTGCGAGCCCCTGGCGTAATCAGCTGGCTCCAAGTATTTCTCCTTCAGCAAGCACCTGTAAACTCTTATCTTCGTGTGTGTGGATTGCATGGTGCAGTCCTCTCGTTGTATAGGTCTTAAATGGCTGCATTTCAGATATTGCGATGATTATCCAAAATCAAATCGGATAGCTTTAAGACAGAATCTGAAAAGATTTCAAAGGCCTATGGTCAGCCACTGCTGCTGGTTGTTGAACTGCAGAACTATACAAATAGTTCTATTTTAGAGATTGATACCTTGCAAAATTATTTCCAGAAAATGTTTATTCTTCTCCCCAGAATATTTTTTGATTCAAGCATAATGGAAACTTCTCTATTCATATGGCTGTACGGTAAAAGTCCTAAAAAAACTGAAAAATTTTCCTGAGAACCATCAGTTAAAATTTTTCTAAGTGTGATATGAAACCTGGAGGGTATAAAGCTTGAAAATCAACCATATAAAATTAGAAAAATTTCTGCATGACAAAAAAATACCAGGGGCAAAACAACAAGGAAAATTAATTTGCAGCTCATGTTCAGAAAAGGGGCTACATTGCCTAGTATATAAAGAACTCTTAAATCAGTAAGAAAAATATATTAATAACTCAATAGAAAAATGGGCAAGTAACATGAACAGTTTACTAAAAAGGAAATTCAGATGTCATCTTCAAAATAAAAGGTGCTCAGCCCCACCTATAGTAAGAGAAATGCACATTTATATTCCAGAGATACCATCTTTCACCTGCAGATTAGCAAAGATCAAAAGGTTTGGTGTATAGTACTGGCAAGGATGTGAAGAGCTGGTCAGCCTCACACATTGCCGGTTGAAGTGTAAGGCTGTACAGTTCCTGTGGAGAGCGCTATCCCCCCAAATTTAAAATACATTTTGTAGGCCAGTAGTTTTACTAGTGGGGATTTATTCCATACATAAAACCAGACATGTGGAAAAAGACCTATGAACAAGTGTGGTATTGTTTACAGTAGCAAAAGCGTGGAAAAAAATATGGAGAATGGGGCATAAGAAAAGATCTGGAAGGATACAATGAAATTGTAACCCGGAGTGTGGCATGATGGGGGCAGGGGTTGTTCTCAGCTGTGGGTGAACATTAAAATCATTTAGGGAGCTTTTTAAAGTCTTAATACCAAGACCAAGTAAATCAGAATCTCTGGAACTGGTGCCTGGACATGAGTGATTTTTAACGTTCTCCAGGGGATTCTGTTGTGCAACGAGTTTGAGAACCACCAATTTAAGCATTTTGTTTCTCTACCTGTGTTGTTTCAGGTTTGTTTTTTCTTTTTTAAAGACCTATATTTTATGATTAAAAATAAAGTTTTAAAGCTATGAACATATGTGATACATTTTTGGAAAATGCCGTTTTAAAGTAAGTTTTAGTACATAAAGATTAAACCTGTTTTATGAGGAAATTCATGCAAGATTAAACACCTTTTTCAATGATGCTGAATAAGTGAAATAACTTCTAGTCTTTGATGCAGATTACTTCAAAAAAGAGTGAAACTTACTTTGGTTAGAGTTAAAACAATTTATTGATGCATTGTTCCAATGACTCCGTCTATGAAAATAAGGAATTTTTTTTTTTTTTAAATAGGAATTCTTACGAAATCGTATATTTGCTTGCTTGGGAAAGCACTCATACTCCATTTTGGCTAGAACTTTTTAACCTCTTCTCCCCATCTTATGTTCTTGATGTGTTTATCTAGAAATTATTCAGTCCTCAGCCCAAAGCAAGACCCACTGGTGAAGGAGGCCCTCAGTTATAAGCAGTATGGGCTATTCAAAGACCCAATTGTGTAAATATCAAAGCCCAGTCATGATTTATTTTTGCCAAACATCATACGCATTTCAGAGGTTAGACTTTCTGCTTCATTGGCCTGAGCACTTAGGTCAACTACTAGCTTTTCAAGATATCTCATGTTGTGATATTGTAGAGTAAAACATTGGGATCAAAAGCCGGAAGACTTGAGAAGAAATGTCATGGGGAAGAGAATAATGATTTGGAGTGAACAGGGGAGAAGATCAGTGTCCGGGAGAGTGCCACTCTCCCAGGGGGTGCTCCGCAAATGATTGTTGAGAATGGTGAGAATGTGGAAACCAAAATGTTGACCCACAAGAATGGGGACATAATCTCATCTAAATGTTAATTGTACCATTTATTTTTTAAATACAACAGTCTTCAGCAGAGGAAAAAATGCGTATGTGTCTGGCCCTAAGACTAGAAATCCCAAGTAGAAATTGGTTTCTGAAACATGTGTTAAGATTGGAAAAAGAGTTTAACCACAGTGGATGAGACACAAAGATAAAGCAGTAGGTTCCCAAATTAAAAATACAGGATTAAAAAAAAAATCTGCTTTGTATTTTCTTTAATCACGTTTTCAGTGCACAAAGGGTTTACTATTTAAAGGAATCGTCCCTGCTGGGTTTTGTCTCATGAATTCAAAGTAGAAGACACATGTCATTCAGATTACCTCTTGATTATTGTAACATTCAGCAGTATATACTAGAAAGGCCAGCAGGCTGGTAAGCAGTTCTGATCTCTGTTTACAGATGTTTCTGAGTTAACATTGAATGGTAGCCTGGAAGAAAGGATGTCCTTTACTAACCTGGTTACCTGCAGCCAGGTGCATTTCAAGTGAAGTCGGCTGATAGAGTCCTCTGTAAGGTAGTATGTTCGCTTTGTGTTCCCCTTTGTAATGTATTAAGTATCTTATGTTTCAGTTTTTTCTACAACAGAAATGTTGATTTAATCCATTTGGAATATGGATTATTTTTCAGTAATCATGCAAGAGGCTTACCAGATGTTATTGAGCAACGCAAGTCTTTAATTTCCTTTCTACCTTCTGTAGTCACCTTAATAGGTCAGGTTAATCCTAAAACCAGAGAAACGAAAACATTTTTTTGAGTGGTAATGTCTTTGCATTTTAAATCTGTATATGTGGTAGAGAGTTTGATTTCAAAAACATTGATGGGAGAGGAAAACCCTGAACGAGCCTGTCGATTTGACATTGAAAGCAAAGTTCTGTTAAAAGCAATTTTACCCCAGCCCCCCGATATTTTATAGCAGCATTATCAACAATAGCCAAACTATGGAAAGAGCCCAAGTGTCCATCGACTGATGAATGGGTAAAATGAAATTTTTATTTCATTCCTATATACAATGGAATATTACTCAGCCATCAAAAAGAACGAAGTCTTGCCATTTGCAACAACATGGCTGGAACTAGAGTATATTATGCTATGTGAAAAAGTCAGTCAGAGAATACGATTTCACTCCTATGTGGAATTTAAGAGAAAAAAAAACCACGGATGAGCATATGGGATGGGGGAAAATAAAGAGAGGGGAATGAACCATGAGAGACTCTTAACATTAGAGAACAAACTGAGGGTTGATGGAGGGAGGTGAGTGGGGGATGGGCTAGATGGGGGATGGGCATTAAGGAGGACACTTGTGTTGAGCACAGGGTGTTATATGTAAGTGATCAATCATTAAATTTTACTCCTGAAACCAATATTGCACTGTATGTTAATTAACTATAATTTAAATAAAAATTTAAAAAGAACAAAACACTTTTACCCCAGCCCAGTTGTAGCGCTAAAGCCCCAGATGTAAATACCCTTTTTAAAATGTTTGAGATAGCCAAGAGAATTAATGCAATAGCATTTTCTACTGTCTTACTGTTTTTGTGTTTCAGAAACAGTAGAATCTGGTAATTAATAAAATGCTTCATATCATTCTTTCTTAAGCCATGTTTTGTCCCCAAATAAATAGATGTTATTTAATTTTAGCATTTTATCATAATTAAAGAATAAAATGGACCTTCATTTTAAAAACCCTGAATATCTAGTTACAGAAAAGATATTAAATAATATTTCTTTGAGGTATTTCACTGAGGTTAATTGAATTTAGCGCAAGAAAGTTTATCTCAGAAAAGTGTATGTGCTCACTTACTTGGTACCAACCTAATGCATTTTCCTAGTTGCCAGATAGAATTTAGAACCTGAAAGGACTGTTATCTGTAGATGACTGACTGTCCATTGTGTGTAGGACAGTGTTAGGATGGCAGTTATTTCCACATTAAAGTAATGTTTCTGGATAGATTTTTATTTTTATTTATTTATTTTTTCCAAAGGAAACTTTTTTTTTAAGTTTTTATTTTTTTTAAAGATTTATTTATTTGACAGAGAGAGACACAGCTAGAGCGGGAACGCAAGCAGGGGAAGTGGGAGAGGGAGAAGTAGGCTCCCTGATGAGCAGGGAGCCTGACCCAGGGCTCGATCCCGGGACCCTGGAATCATGACCTGAGCCGAAGGCAGACGCCTAACAACTGAGCCACCCAGGCGCCCCTATTTTTATATATTTTTAAAAGATTTATTTATTCATTTGAGAGAGAGAGAGAGAGAGTATGAGCAGGGGGAGGGGCAGCGGGAGATAAGCAGACTTTGCGATGACAGGGGAACCTGTCACGGGACTCGATCCCAGGACTCTGGGATCATGACCTGAGCCAAAATCAAAAGAGTTGGATGCCTACCTGACTGAGCCACCCAGGCGCCTCTGGATAGAGTTTTAGAAGGAAAAAAAAATCAAGTTATCAAAACAGTCTGTGCACTATGATTCCTTTTTTGCAAAGTGAAATAGATGCCTAACAGCAAAATATTAACATTGGCTTTGACAGGTGATTTTTATTTCATTTATGCTTACTTTTATTTTCTGATTTTTAAATCCCAGCACAAGACCAAAGAAAAAAAAAATTTATCACAGAGCCTGAAAACAGAAATGTATATAAACCTTCAAAGCAGAGAAAGGAGGAAGATCCTGAAGATTCTTGATGAAAGATGAATCCACAAAATGGGTAATCCTGTCTCAGCTCTGGCTTCGCAGGAGGAGCATCAGGAGAACTGCAGAGATTAGTACACAGAGGGTGCAGACTGTAGGTACCACAATCTCTGTCACCATCTGCATGTGACTTAGCAGAGGCTCTGAAATGGGAGAGAAAACACCACAAATGAGCATGTCCTCATTTCAGCGAATATAGCCTCACCCTGAAAGATTCAACTGTATTGGGAAAAACTTGGAAAATGGTATCATCAAGCTTTGTAATTATTCTCAGTTGCTCTAAAAGAGAACATGGTGAACTAAATGTTACTAAAAAAATTATGTGAGGGCTTTATAAAATATTTCACAAAGTATGGGGTAAAGAATGCCTATATTTGGTTCTTCCATAGGTATTACAATAAAGTCTAAGTGTATGTTATACTTACCATAAATTCATATGAGGATATTAACTAACAGGCGTGTTCCAAGGTTGCTGTAATTTTCACTGGCGGGGGGGGGGGTTGTGAAAGAAAAATCCTGGGGAAGCATCGGTAACCTTTCAAAGGTGTTATTGTGTATCTTAAGATGTGTAAGAGTTTCCATATTGAAAGTTTGTGTGGCAATTCTTGCATGGTTAAGTAATAATCTTGAAGAGTTGAATGATAAGCCTGTTTCATGTACATGATTATAGTAGTGGACATTTATGTAATTCCCACTTCCAGGTTTTGTGCCTGCCACCCTGGCTACCATGATAAATAAAGCATGAGGCCCTGTTCCCACAGAATTCATAGACTCAGCAGTAAATTCTACATCATGTGTCTGGGTGTTAAATTCAAGTTAATTTTGGTTTAAAGGAATATACATCCTTAATATTACCTGGTTATTTAGATGGGAGCAGGGCACGGTAGTGTATTGGCCTATAAAAATAGCTGAATTGGGGAAAAAAATAGCTGAATTGGTAGGATTTGTTCCATCTAGCACTTTCCACCTCTGATACCACATTAAAGATGGGTTTGTTAAAACAGGAAGTATAGGGCGCCTGGGTGGCTCAGTCGGTTAAGCGACTGCCTTCGGCTCAGGTCATGATCCCAGGGTCCTGGGATCGAGTCCTGCATTGGGCTCCCTGCTCTGCGGGGAGCCTGCTTCTCCCTCTCCCACTCCCCCTGCTTGTGTTCCCTCTCTCACTGTGTCTCTGTCAAATAAATAAATAAAATCTTTAAAAAAACAACAACAACAAAAAAACCAGGAAGTATATTTCTCTGATTGCCCTTAGGGAAAGACAGAATTCAAAGAAACACATGCTGTGTGCTGGCATTCATTAATATGTAGATGCATCTTTGTTATTCTACATCTCTGAGCCTTTTCGATCCTACTGCACAAGAAACCTTGCCTTCCGTGAGGTCAGGGACCTTGTTTGGTTTATTGCTGGGCTTAAAACACCCCTTAGCTAATAGTGAGTGCTCAATAATTACTTGCTGAATGAGTGAATATAATATCTGGAATGTTCTTTGCCTTCTCTTTATTTGAATACGGTTGCATTTTTCCCTCCTTCCACAAAGCCCACTGTAATCAAAATAGGTTTATAAACTGGCTGTATGATTCAGAAAGAATCAAACTAGGAGGGATAAAATATTTCTCTTTTGTGGTAGATTTTTAAAATGTTATTTGAAATGCTTATAAAACAGAAATTTGACATTGTTTCAAAAGGAAGGAAAAAATTCATTTTTAATTGTATGTTTAGGAATGATTGACTTCAGGTAGATGCACATTTTGAGGTTTCGGTAACGTCATTATATGTATAGTTATGTGCCTTACTTATCAAAGGGAAAAATTAAAATATACTCACCTGCAGCAAGCATCTGGTTGTTGATAGAACAAGTTTCCAAGGCTTTGAGGTACCAACTCTCCACCTAATAAAAACCCACTAGGTAAGTAATGTCATCTTAGACTAATTTTTTGCTGTTCCAAATCATTTTTGAAATAATGTGGGATTAAAAAAATTTAAATCTGCCTGGAGTTTAAATTAGTTAATATTTATTAAATACCTATGTGCATCATTGTGAGGGAGTCAAAAAACAAAACAAAACTAGTCTTTATTCTTGAGGAGCTTATAATCTAGCACTTTTCTAGAAATGCCAAACTGGTGAATGCCTATGAGTCACTGTTTGTTTATGGTGCCACTGAGCTCATCCTAAAAGGACGTTGGCAAACAACTGAGATTTATTTTTAGAAGTTATCTTTATTGAGACATTCTAAATTACGATTTTTATTTCCTGCCATCAATAGCAACATAGAGAACGGATAGAAAAATCTACAGGTGACTGAAAATGGTATGTTTTAAAGGATTGTTAATATTGTTTATTTTTAATCTCATTTTGGAACTAATGGGAGAAAAGTGAAAGTTATGGTCATTATACATTTAATTTGCCTGTTTCCATATATGTTGAAGAGTAAGTAGTCAGTATTTGTTTGCATTAAGATATAACATTTAGGATAACATTTAACTAGAAGTCTCTAATGTCTCTTATAACCTAAAACAAACAGGACTTCTACATAACTTTCTTTGTTCTTCATGCTCTACAAGTTAGGAGTGAATTTGAAGTGAGGACTGAATTTTAAGGCATGTTTACCCCATTCTAAGCAAATGAGCAAAGAGGTGGCACAAATTAGGGGAAGAATCAAAGGCCCATGTTCCCACAAAGCCCCGTCCTCCTCCACAGAGGAGAGAGGACAGAGGCTTGCCACACTGCACACCCCAAGCTGCTTAGCTCTTCAAAAATCTAGAACAAGTGAGGGGCGCCTGGCTGGCTCGGATGTAAGAGCACATGACTCTTGTTCTTGGGTTCGTGAGTTCGAGCGCCACGTTGGTGTAGAGATTTAAAAAAAATCTAGAACAAGTAACATCAATAATTAGTCCTACCTCTCTTGGGCTGGGAAACCCATTGGCAGTGATAATCTTCTTGTAATATTGAACTGACGCCTTTGGGTAGCGCGGCTTATTTCTGTTGTTAAATTCGACGTAGTAGAATCCGTATCTATCTGAGTATCCTTTCTCCCATTCAAACTTATCCAACAAAGACCAGGAAGTATACCCTTTTATATTAGCACCATCTTTTATAGCTGCAAAGACATTTTGTTCCATTTTTAATATATTTCACTTACTTGGAAAAATAACATTGTGAAGATAATTTTAAATGAATTCATTTATGAGATTTAGAAACAAGCTTTAGTCAATCACAGCTGTTAGCAAATTCAGTCCAAATTAAGTAGAAAATATGTGAAGGCCGTCTTCGTATCTCACCTTTCAGCATTTCATTTATGTAGCCCTTAAGGTACTGAATTCTCCATTCATCACATAACTGCATGCAGTGTAATATTTGAGACGCGCCGTTTTCTGTCACATAGATGGGAGGATTGCCGTATTGAGTCTGAAATTGAGTCATAGGAATATCTTAAAAATTCCAACCTACAGGTGGGTTTCTGAGTCTGAGGCACATAGGGGAATGGTGTATTTAAGCCGCCGTATTCCAATTGAGTGTATTTAGCGTTTGGGAGGTGCCAGCTCACACATTTATTTGGAGGTGAATGTATATAGGAGCCAGTTCATACGAAAGATTACATTTCTCAGTGACTCATCATTATAGAGAAAATGTACTTCAGGTCTTGTTCTTTCCCACATAGCTCATTTCAGGTGAGAAGGGCAGCCAAATAACTAAATGTGGGATGAGAATTTGTAGCTACGGTTCTATACCTTGAGATGGTTACTCATAGTCGGCATTAGTCTCTCAAGCCTGTATCTAGTAGCCTCTGAAGTAGAGGTGACTGAGTTTCACTTTAAAAGGGATGCACCTAACTGGAATTAAAATAAAAACGTTAAAAAAAATGTAGGCACCCGAGCCTAAGCTGTAAGATCATGAATGGAGGTCAGAAATGTTCACTGGGGGTACCTGGGTGGCTCAGTCAGTTGGGCATCTGCCTCTTGATTTCAGCTGGGGTCATGGTCTTTGGGTTGTGAGATTGAGCCCCCTGTGGGCTCAGCAGGGAGTCTGCTTGTCCCTCTCCTTCCCCTCCCCCAGCCCGTGCTTGCATGCTCTCTCTCATTCTTTCTCAAATAAAATCTTCAAAGAAAAAAAATGTTCATTAAATAGCTTAATGTGATAATCACCTGAGCAAAGTGGAGGAGCCTCCTAAAGCCCCATGGCACAGAATAGAGCCACTTAGACCCCGGATCGGGCCAGTTTGGGTCAACCAGTTCTACTAAGTCACGATCATTCTGGTAGCTGGGCCCCTGGCGGGAGGGGTATTTCCTTTCTGTGATGTACCGAGTAGTAAAATGGCCTAATCCCAAGAAATCAGATGTGCCTTTAATGTAGCTTTTTTCCTGGAGTGAGAACACTGGTAACCTTGACATATCCAGGCCTTGCTCTGCACTCTTTTTCCCTATTGAGAGAGAAAAATAAGAATTTAACAAAGTTGGCGTTCTCCCAATCCTTTTGCTGTGACGTACCATGACGATACTGGTGTGTTGACATAAAAACTGCTATCCAGGTCCCGGGCTTTGGGGTTCGTTTGTGTGGAAAAAGTAGCCTTAGCCTTTTAACCTGGCATTTTGACATTTGAATACTATTCAAAATGTTAAAAGTTTATATTGCTTAAAAGTTCTATTTTCATAGATCACTCAGTGATCTATGCAATGGTATGCAGACAACTTTGCAGCTATATGGAAAAGAAGTGGAGTTGGGATTCCTGTATTATTTTTTGTAGCCAAAACTGGTAATTTTGGTTGTCTCTGGGAAGAGAAGTGGAAGGCCATTCGTGGTGCGGATGGTGGCGTAGGGGACATACAGTCACGTTCATGCACCTTTGAGGTGTAGGCTGGTACGACCTCCGTGGTGGGAAATGTTGTCCTAGCATTTAAAATGGTAAAAGAGTATGTCCTTTCACTGGCCAATTCCACATCTGTTTTATCCTACGTTTTACTCGCACGTGTAAAAGGATGTGTGTTCAAGGATCTTCATTGTAGATTAAGTAGCAAAAGATTGGAAACAACCTAAATGTCTATCAGGAGACTGGTTAAATAAATGCTCGGATATCCATCCGTACAACACTGCAGTCATTAGAATGAATGAGGCAGCACTTTATGTACCAATGTGGAAAGAATGCCAAGATGTATGTTGAAATGAAAGATGCAGAGTGTTGCACATAACAAGCACACACACGGAGCAGCAGTGTTTTTGCTCACACGTGCACAATCCATCTCGGGAAGTATGCTTCCTGCGGGGGAGGAAGGGAGCAGCGGGGAGAGGGAGGGAGGGAAGCTTGACTTTTCACCTTGTACTCTCTTGTAATTTAAAAAATTTGAAACATGCATAAAACCGTATAATCTATGCCAAAAAAAAAAAAGGTTTTAAATGAGTAAAGAAAAGTAACATTGTAGGAGTTGTTCTAAAATACAACCATAAACATGTTTCCAAAGAGGCTACTGGTTTAGATTAACTGAGTGAAAAGCTTGTATTATTATAAATACTTTAAGATCCTCACCTGTTATTACTTTCAGTGACAGTAACTTGAAAACCAAAAGGCATTGTCCCTGGACTATCTAATACAGTGGCCACTAGCTACACATGGCCATTAGATGATGCATCAGTCACACTGAAGGACAGAATTTTTAATTTTTTAAAATTTAAATAGTCACAAATGACTACAGGCTATCATATTGGACAGTACAGATACAGAACACTTCCACCATCACTAGAAGTTCTGTTGGACAGCACGGGTCTAGAACTGTGCTCGTTCGTACATCGTGCTTATGAGATGCCTGAAAGTAATTTGTGTACAGGACTTCCAGCAGAATGCTTTCACTAAAGACAATATTAACTGCGCAGAGGATCCTTCTTCCCACATTGTAGCAGGAAAAATTCAGCCCCGTCTCCATTTGAATTACTACAAAGTTGGAGTTGGTGGGGTCTGGAATTAATTGGCCTGAAGCCCAAGAACTCTTCTATGACAAATAATCAATTTGGCGGGCACCTGAGTGGCTCAGATGGTTAAGCATCTGCTTTCGGCTCAGGTCATGATCCCAGGGTCCTGGGATCGAGTCCCGCATCAGGCTCCCTGCTCGGAAGGGGGCTTGCTTCTTCCTCTCCCTCTGCTGCTCCCCCTGCTTGTGCTCTTTTGCTCTCTCTGTCAAATGAATAAATCTTAAAAAAAAAAAAAAAAAAAAAGTCAATTTGGCTTCTTTAATGCCATCCTGTTGTGGCTCCTGCCACAGCCTCTGAGGGTCCCGGGGCTGAATGCCAAGGGAGTGACGGGCTGTGCCCTGCAGGGCAGGGCAGGGGCATGGGCTCTGTCCTGAGGGCTTTTCCCTGGGCATCTTGAGGACATCATTCTCAGGATTTCAAACCTATGTGTATAGACGTGTCACAGAACTGGTTATTGCCAAGAGATTTTTAGAGATTATTTGTCCTTCATTTTCAGATGACAAAAATGTCACCCAAAGGTGAAACCCCTTGCCCAGAGTCACTGGTTAGAGCTGAGTTGGAATTAGAACCTGCTGCTCCTATTCCAGGTAAGTCTGATAAATGGTGCTTTAGAAAGGGAATTTTTTGAAATGTTGACAGTTCTTTGTCAAACATCCAAAATAGCCTTGCTGTGTGAGATTGTAACCTGTCAATGCCACCCATGTCTCTCTACAGGGGGATGCAGACTGCTACCTCTAAATAAACAGAGCTAATACTTTGATTCCTGTGGCCAGACACTGGTGGTTGCCCACCCAATCAATAGTCCCATGGCTGTCTTTCCCTCTTCCTCATCCTCCTTAGAGAGTCCTGGCTCCCCCAGCCTCTGAGGACGCTCTAGTCCCAGTGGTCTAAGACATTCTGGGGCATGTGACAGTTCCATCCCTTGAGGACTTCCCTTGAAGGGAAGTCAGTTGTGGGTGAAGACCGTTTTCTGGGAAGATTGTCCTTGTTCTTAAAAATGGGTATTACCAAGCTATTTCCATTTTTCTGCCTCTGGGTGTTGATATGTAAAGATATGATGCCCGGAGCTGCTGCAGCCATCTTGTGGCCGTAGGGAGTGGTTTGATGGGCTGGCTAAAGGTGCCAGAGTGAAAGATGGAATGGGCCTCAGTCCTCAAAGACATCCCTGAAGGCTGGATTAACTGGTCCTGGATCATCCTTTTCTGGACTCAGGACTTGAGGTGATAAATTCCCTACTTTTCAAGCCATTTTAGTTGGCGTTTTCTGTTATGTGGCACTTAAAGGCACCCAAACTGATAGAGCCTTGTGAGCTCTATGTGTCTTTATTCTCCTCTCTGACATTGCGGAAACCAGGACTTGGAAAGCATTTCTCAAGTGACAGAACCAGCGCCAGAACTGGCACTGCCCACGACTGTGTCTGTGACTTCTCTCTCCTACTTCGAGAGGGAGTGGAGTGGGGAGGAGACCGGAGAGCAGAACAGAAAAGAGAGCAGCCCGGAGAATGGCTCTACTTTCCCCTGGGTCCTGAAATTCTCAATCGCCATGTCTGGGGATTTGTCTGGGAGTCGTTCCTCCCCCCTCCCCAATTCAAATGCGCAGTTCTCAGTTCCTTGAGGGCTGGACTCTCCCTTGGGTGCCTCGCCCGAGCCCCGTGTGTTCTTCCATCCCCCTGCCTCTCCATCACCTCACTCGCGCTCAGTACTGTTGCCTGGAGCTTAAAGATGTGACTTGGCTCACCGATCCGGTCCTTCATGACTTGAGGGTAGTCTCCGGCGTAGATGGGGTTGGCAAACCAGCCCAGGCAGAACTGTAGGTATCTTTCGGCAGCTTCTATGTCCTTGGGTCTACTCATGTCCACGGGTTCCCCCCAGTCGCAGTTTAATGAGATCCCCACCAGACCTTAAAAGAAAGGACAAGGAGGGTGGCAGGGGTGCTAAGGGGGGTGCTGTGTCCTAACGCATGGGTGGTGGGGCTCACCTTGCTGCTTGCCGCGCCACGTCCTGTTGTAGGAATGCCAGGCTTGGGCGTGGGCCTGAAAATGGAGGGATGCATCAGAGGTGCCTGGCTGGCACATCTCTCTCCTGTCCTGATGAGAGATCAATCTGATGGAGTCCCATCTTTTCCCTGAGTCCAGCCTTGATGATCCCGATCCCTTGTCTCCCTCCCTCTGACCTCCAGAGACACCTGTTTTCTTTGTTCTGTAGAGAAACTTGGTCTAATTCTGGCACAAACACACAAAACTACCTCTTTGTGTGATTTCTTGTTCCGGAGACTTTTGCTAAAGTTTCTTGTTTTGTTCCTGCTCGTCTTCTGTAGTCACTAGGCAGTACTTTTACCGTAGGTGCTCAGGAAGTTTGGAAAATACCAAGCATCTGGAACAGTCTTGAGAATGGAATTCAAAATGTGCCGACCTGCCTTCTCTCCATACTCTCCATCAGTGACCCACTGAGGCCTTCAGAGCTCTACCCTTTAAATAGTCACAGTTTAAGGGGCGCCTGGGTGGCTCAGTCAGTTGGGCATCCGACTCTTGATTTCGGCTCGGGTTGTGATCTCAGGGTCATGGGATGGAGCCCTGTGTCGGGCTTCCCGCTCAGCGGGGAGTCTGCTTGAGATTCTCTCCCTCTGCCCCTCCCCCTGCTCGCTTGATCTCTCTCTCTCTCTCTCTTTCTCAAATAAATAAATCTTAAAAAAATATTCACAGTTTAAGAACTCATAAGCCAAATGTAGAAAGAATGAGGAAGTCCTCTCCCTGACAGGAATTTGAGAGTCTAGTATGTCACTCAGGGGCCCCTGACTTCCTGCTTGATCAGATTGTCCCCCTTCTGCTGAGAGTCCACTGGGGCCATGCTGTCATGCCTCCTCATCTGTGTCCTGCACTGTGACCCAATCCCCTCCCCCCGCTCAAGCCTTCCTAGCGGCCTTGTAACTCACGAGTTCCCCTGCAGCATCTCTGTCTCCTTCCCTCCCGGGCCCTTCCTGAGCTTGGCTGCCTCCACGGCAGCTCTCCCAAGAAGGGGCCCTTTTTTCTGTCACACCCCACATACCTTGGGGGAGTGCTTGCAAACTATTTCTCCTTCCAAAACCCCAGGTCCTTTGAAGTCCACGCCGGGAGACAAACACTCCTAACCCCTTCTTACAGTTGTCCTTCACCAACCCCGTTACTACATTGAAGATTTCAGCCCCTAGTTCACTGTCATCCCACCCCTTCCTCCTGTCACCGTTCCTCACAAGGCTGCTGGGACCTGTCGGTGACAAGTTTTCACACGCACGCGCTCCATCCCCCTGACCGGGTTGTAAGCTCTAGAGAGCATGCACTGTGTTGTCTCGGTGGCGGTGGCCAGCCCCGGGTGACTGGGCACTGCCTCCACAGAGCCTCGTGGAACGCAAGTGAACGGTGCGGAGGTGTGGTGGAATATGCTGGAACCACAGAGGGCTGAGCTCAGGCTCGGACCCCTGGGGCAGGCTGAACTGACACTGGGGTCTGTCCCTCCGCCCCGAACCCAGCCTTCACGCCCAGAAGGACCCACCTCACCTTAATGATGTGGTGCGCTGCCTTGTACAGGCCTGTGCCAGGGAGCTGCAAGCCTGGAGCGTGGCGGCCCGTCTCATAGCCTTTCTCTGCCATTGTCTGCGGGGACGGCAAGCGGGCATCACAGCACCCGTGAGAAGGGGTAGGAGTGCTCTGGTCTGGGAAGGGGGGCTTCCCACCTGGAGGAGGGTCCTGCTTACCCGAGGATCACTGAAAGTGATCCAGTGCTTCACCCGGTCCCCAAAGGCCTCAAAGCACAGATTGGCATAATCCCCGAAGTAGCTGATCATGCTCACATTCTGCCACCCGCCGTACTTGACCTGGAGCAGCTGCAGAGTGGAGAGAGAAGCAGCTATCCCCAAGGGTCTGTCTCTAGAAAAGACTTCTGGAGTCCATAGGCCTAGTATGTGGGAGAAACAGGGTGATGACCACCACAGAGGCTGTTGAGAGCAACAGAGAGCAAAGATGCGGAGTCTTGGGCGTTACAACCCGAGGATGGTGATGCCATCACTTGGCCAGTGATGAACCATGAAGCAACATCAGTGGGGACAAGCTATGTGACATATACAATCAAGAGGGAGGGAACAGAGAAAGTTCAAGACTCTCATGCTTAAAAGGAATGTGATAGATTGAATATTTAAGAAAATTGGCCAAGGCAGAGAGGTCTGCTACTGGGAGAAGAACCTCAACTATACATCCAGAAGAAGTAAGACATGATGCAGGACATGGAAGCTCTGATTAGGATTTTGAGGGCCGTGCAGACGTAAGAAACCCTAGAAGCTCTATTATGAGGGCGGGTTCTGCCTTCTTCACTCAGATGATGCAGCTCAAACTCGTTAATTATGCCATTTCATCACATCTTGCTCAAAAGAGGTTTCTTTTTAGTTTGATTTGTTGTTTTTAGGCCAAATGTTTTGGGAAAAACCAAAATCCACACTTATCACCTATTACAAACATCAGTGAAATCAGCACGATGTCCCTCCATGGGTGAGTCAGATTTCTTGGCTCCCTCCCATCTCTGGGTCCAGACCCCAGCCTTTGCCCCACCTTGGCAAGCCCCGTCCCCCAGTCAGGCTCCCCCTGTGGAGCTGAGCCCCCCGGGCCTCACCTGTGGGAGATCCCAGTGGTGCAAGGTCACGATGGGGGTGATGTTGCTCTTCAGGAGGGCATCAATGAAGTCACTGTAGAACTTGATTCCCCTCTTGTTCACCTTGTCAGCTGAAGGTGAGATAAAAGGGGCCGTAGCCTTCCGAAGTGCGGTGCTGCTGGGCCCTGGGGCCTCTCTGGGGCCTGAAGAAGTCCCCAGCCTGCCCAATTCTGGGTCTGAGGGATGGCATGGGTGCCTGGCTGCCTGAAGAACCTGGGAGGGCTTCTGCCATGTTCCGGGGATGCTCTCCCTCCCCAGCACTCTGTGGTGTCCCCACAGAATCAACACGGCCAAAAGGGACCACACTTGGGCTTGGGAGGGGCTGCGCCGTCTCACCTCGGACGCCGGTGGGTAGGAGCCGAGGCCAAGACAGGGAGAATCTGTAGTGGTTCACATGCAGCTCCCTGAGCAGGATGATGTCCTCCTGTGCAGACAGGGGTGGGAGGCAGGGTGGGGTCATCTAGAGCTCTGGGGTGGGGGTTAGGGGTCCTGCTGGGGGCCTGGGCCAGTGCTCCTCATTTATACAATAGGTGTGAAAGCACCTTCCTCCTGCCAAGAGTCAAATACGTGCAGGATAGGGGACTGCTTTGAGGTGTCCATTGGGGTGTTCCTAATAAACTTGGGGGATGAATCCCCCAAGAAGTCAGCCCAGGGAGGAAAAGTGGGTCCTGAGCAGAGGGACTTCCTCCACAGGGGCCAATTCACAAGCAGTGACCAAGGATTCAGGCCACGTGGCTTATAGACCCTGGGGTCATGGTATCAGCTGCTCAGCTGCCCATCGCTTGGAGTAAGGCCCTGGTTCAGGTGGGGCCCTGCTTTCCTTTCCTTTCTGCACATCCTCCCCTCTCCCCGCTCCCCCCAGCCCATCAATCCCCAGTCATCAATGGCCTCGCCCCTTTTTCCTGCAGTGGGATAGGGGCTGCTTAGCAGAGCACTGGATTGACATTGTCCCCTGGGCCCCCCTCCTATGTCACTGTCCACCTCAGCTGGGTGCATACTCACCCCTCACACACACCTGTCACTCACCTGCACCTTGTAGTAACCATCACAAGCCACATCTGCTGTCTCATCCCCAAGCACCTTGCCCTTCCCACTGTGAGTGAAGGCATCCCAGATGCTGGGCCCTTTCCCATCCTGGTCCCAGGCTCCCTCCGTCTGGAAGGCGGAACTGCCCACGCCCCAGGAGAAGTCTGCAAGTAGAGACCTTAAGCTGGGCCCTGGGCCCCCTCCCACGCCCCCCCACCCAGCCCCTGGACTCTGGGCTGTGCCTCCTGGGCCACAGGGCAGGTCCCCTCCCCACAACCTGCCCCCGTCTCGCCAGGAGTGGGAGCCTGTGGGGCAGGGCGGGGGAGGACCTAACACATTGAAAACATTCATTTGCACAATTTCAGCTCTGATTAACATTCACTGTCTGTACAGTAAGTTTAAAAAAATCTGTTAGGAACTTCTATTTTAAAACAACTCCGTGGAGTTATTTTTCCCATCCTACCTGTCAGGAAACGAAAACACCAAAGTCTTTGGCAAGCCAGCCAAGGTGGGCAAACTGACAGACAGACGGACAGACCAACCGAGGAATGGACATACCAAGTGGGAAGGTTCCATAGTAGAAGGAGGCCTCTTCTGGGGATCCCTTCCTGGTGGCCCCCAGCCTGGACTCCAGCAGTAGCACCCACCAAAGTGTGACAACCCGCACTGGCTTCATGGCACCCGGCCCTCCCCCATTCCTGAAAAAGCACACCTGACAGGTGGAGGTCCATGCAGCCAGGGCTGGGGGGCCGGATCCCAGCTTGGGGCTGAAGGCCAGGAGGGGAGGAGGTGGGGGTGCTTTATCTAGAGCAGCTTTGGCTCAGCTAGGGCAGCTGGTCCATTGCTCCACTGGGAGCCACCAGCAGATGCCGAGGCTGAGCACCGGGTACGGTTAAGGAGGAGATGAACACGGGGCTTGGGGCGGGGGGCGGTGCTCCAGGTCGGATGTGCCAGGTTCCAAACCACCCCCGCTCCCTGTCTGATGGGGGATACCCAGCCCATACCCTGTGAGAGGCCCTGATCACATGGGGAAACCACTTCTGCCTTAGGGAAGCTCCAGTTGACGGGGGAGGCAAGACAACCCACAGATCCCCTGAAGCACCCCACCTATCACTGTGGCAGGGGTGGTGGGGGGACAGACCTCTCCCCAAGCCGGGGGTCATGAGCAGGGTTGCCATCCCAGGGCCTCCAGTCCTGAGGGTCAGGACGATGCCCTCCCCCTGGGACCCCCTCTCTGGTGCAGCCAAGCCGGATTACCTGGGATCGTCCTGTGTCCCAGACACCCCCAGAGTAGCGGTGGCAGCCAGAGCGCTCTCAGACTGACCCCAGGGTGTGTGCTGCCCCCGAGAGCAGAGCCCACAGCGCAGGGAAGGCTCTGGTTGGGGGTGTGGTCAGTGGCCCAACCTCCCCCTACAAAGAACTTCAATAGCCCCATTCAGTGGAGAGGGCAGGAATGCTGAGCTGGCCAGTGGGGCCTGAGTCAGCTGCAGAGGCAGCTTGGCCCTGGGCCCTGGGGCATCCAGTCAGCCCCCTGGGAAGGCAGAGGGGCAGAGATCTGGGCCCCCTGACCCCTTCTGGTCCTGATGTGCCACGTTCTACACACCTTAGCCTGGGAAGCTGGAGGTGGGCGTGGCGGGGGGGGAATCAGCATTTGCAGGCACCTCTCTTTGTGTCCACCTCTCCCTGCTGCCAGAGAAGGGGCAGGGCAGAAGATAAAGTTGGTTTTTCCACCTTACCTCCTTTGTTTGGAACCTTCATTCATTCATTCCTTCACTCACTCCCTCACTCACTCACTCAACCAGGATTGCTTGCTAGAACACCCTCCCTGGAGGCTCAGCCCCTGTGGCTTCCCATCCTGGCTGCCCAGGTCCCCCAGTGTGACTCCCTTCACCCCATTCACCTCCAGCTCCCCTGCCTTTAACTGAGCCTCACTGGGGCTCTCTCAACTGGGTGCCCCTTTGCCCTCGGTGGTTGGTTAATCTTTTTCTGCCAGAGCAGAATGGGATTGGCCTGTGCCCTCCAGGGGCTCAAGGTCTGGTGGGGGAGGAAGGCGGGAGTTGGGGGGAGGGAAAGTGGTTCTAAACACTGTAGCGGGGGCGGGGGGGATCAGGACTCTAATGGAAGGATGGACAGGACACTGTAGAGGCTCAGGGAGGTGGGGCTGGTTTCACAGGGGAGGGGACATTGGACCTGAGACACTTGAAGCCTGCAGAGGTGTTGGCTAGGTGGCGTGGAGCTGGGAAAGCATGGGAACAGACAGGGGAAACAGCCTGAGCAAAGGCCCTGAGGTGTGTTTTGGGAACTGGGAGCTTGGTATCTTCTCTCCTCTTGCATCTGTCGTGCAGTGCCCAGGCAAGCAGGCCTGTGTCCTCAGGGTGAGCAGGCCACTGGACAGCCACCCGAGTGTCCATCTCTCCTGTGGGTGGACTGCTGTGGTGTCCAAGGCCAGTGCTGTGCTGTTTGCTCCAGGGCTGGTGCCTGCCTCACCGAGCTCGGGGCTCTGGGGACTCTGCTCTCTGGGCTGAGGTAGGCAGGATACATAAAACTTTAAGAGCTGATGTCATCTCTGAAAAATGCCCCCTTCCTGCAGAGCCAGGGGCCCAGTGTTTGTGTTGGAGGGGATGGTCAGCCTGGCATGGCTGGGGCTGCTTGGGGGCTGTCTGTCTCTGCTGTCCTATTCCTGTTCTCTCTCCTTCCACCAGCTCCAAGCCTGGCTCTGGCTGGAAGGACCTGGGTCTCACAGCGAATTGACTCCCCACCACCTCCCTCCCCCTCCAGTCCAGGATCCAGGGCTGACTGGGGCCAGCCTGAGGCCTGCAGCAACCAGGGCAGGACCCTACCTTTGGGTCTGAAGTCCCTGGGGGCCAGGCCTGGCTGAAAAGCAGGTATGTTGGTGGGGGAGCGGGGAAGGTGGCCTTTGGGCTCATGTAGCCCCTCGTTTTCTCTCCTTGCAAGAGGCTGCAGAGGTGGGGGCCCCTCTGCCAATAGCCCCCACAGCACCCAGCACGTAGCCCAGCTCTGTGACTTTCAGGAAGGGACTTGGTAAAGGCAGAACGCCTGGGCAGCACTGGTGGGTGGCATGCATTTGGGTCCAGATATGGGAGAGGCCTAGCTCAGCCTGCTCTGTGGTTCAGGATCCTTCAGAGCTAACGGAGGGGCTAGAGTGGGAAAGACACTGGGGATTGGGAAAAACAGATTCCTGCCTCCATGTAGCCAAGAAGTAGCTATGGGTTCCAGGGACAGTGACTTTCTCTCTCCGGGACCGAGGTTCCCTATCTATAAAATGAGAGCAGCTCTCTCAGGGTCCCCTGGCTGGTACAGTGGGGCCTCGCAATTCTCTTCCCTGGCCACAGGAGCTAGTTTTTCTCTCTCCAGATGGGTCTCTAGGCTCCATCCACCACCACCACCACCCCCGGCCCTGCAACCCAACTCAGCCCTATCCAGCCCTGACCTGAGGGGACCAGTCCCAGGAGACAAGGTTCAGTGCTGGCGTGCTGTGTGACACTGGGCCACCCATTGCCCCTCTCTGGGCCTTTGTTTTCTCCCCTGTAAAAACTAAGGAGGCTGGCTCCTAGTTGTCTGGTCTTCCTTAGCTCTGGGGTTCTATTAAAGAGGTGATAGGCTGTTTTTAGGTTGTCTTGGTTTGGGTTTTGTAGGAGGCAGGGAAGCTGGTCAGGGCAGTGCTGACGATGCTGGGATGGAGGTGAGGGGTTTGCAGGGATGACGGTGGGGCGGCTTCGCTGGAGCGTGTCAGGAGGTTGTGGGGTGTGTGTTCCTGGAGCGCTGGGGAAAAGAGCCCCCCTCAGGGTGTAGATCTGTCCAGGGGGTCAGGAACACGGGAGTGGAGTGCTTGGCTTATAAGGAGCACTCTGGGCCTGAGTCAGACTTTCTTCTGAGGCTGGAGCAGAGGCAAGTTGTCTGTGATGGGCCTCTGGGGGAGGGGGCGGGGAGGAGGGTGGAAAGGATGGGGCGCGTGGCTCGTGGAGCAGAGGAGGGCAGTGGTTAGGCTCCAAGACTGGAGTCAGACATCACTTGGCTCCCCAGCTCAGCACCTGGCAGCTGGGTGTTAGACACACGTCCCCGAACTTCTCTGAGCCGTTTTTCTTGTGTAAATGGGGATACGTGCTTCCTAACTGAAACATTAAAGGACACGATAGATGTAAGTGCTTCCTGTGGTGCCTGGCAGGGAGAAAGTCCCCAGCAAATGATCCCTGTCATCAACGCCATCACGTTCTCAAGGCTGACCCCCTCGTACCGGGGTGTTCTGGGTGAGGCACAGCGCCTGATGGTCTGATGAGGGGCTTCCGTGATCGGAGGGCTTTGGTTGTTTGGGAGATGCCCAAATCCTGCCATGCTGCAGGCTCTGCACGAGCCAGGCCCCTCTGTCCCTGCTGAAGGCGAGCTTTGCGTCCTAGAGCCCCGGGCACTGCCCAGGGCCAGGGTGCCCAGGAGTCAGTGGACTTGGAGGGCGGCTGCTAGCTCGGGCCGTGGGAACAAAACGTAGGGCCTTTCACCTTCCGGCTATGGATGATTAACATCCATAGTTCTCTTCACTTCTCAAGTGCCCAACTTTTTGTTATAAAAGTGTTCAAACACACAGGAAGGTTGGAGGAATTGCACCTTTCACACCGTGCATCTGCCGAATGTCCACTGAGACTCTATTTTACTCTGCTTTGCTTTATCACGGCCTCTCCTCCCCCTGCCAGCCAGCCAGCCAGCCACTCAGCTTCTCCTGTGCCTTTCCCAGTAAGGGGCAGATGCTGAGTCACTGCACCCCTAAACACTTCAATGGCATCTCACCAAGTCTATTTGTTTCGGGCTCTGTTCTCTTCGAGGCAAAATCTGCTCCCAGTGAAATGCATGCATCCCACGTGCACTATTCTGTGAGTTTTGACAAAAGCGGTCACATATCCCCAAACCACTACGTCCGACTCTGAGTCACACTGCATCTATCTGAGGACTTTGGGGGAAAATACCTGCAGGTCTGAAGAACAGGAATCCCATGTCTTGTTTCCCGCTGAGCTCGGACTGCTTGGAAATGCTGAGATACATCTGCGGCCTGCCTCTAGCCTGGGCCCAAGACTTGACTAATGCATTTTTGTGTCATCTCACTCTCCCTTCCCCCTGATCTCCTGGCCTGTTATTTTTAAATCCTGAGGTATCTACCACTCGGCAAGCTGGTTCTCAAATCCTTTTTTTGGAACAAGACCGAAGGAGTGCTGCATAAATAATCATATTGGAATCTTCAGGAGGTTTCAATGGTTGGTGGTGCCCAAATATGTGAAACCGAGGCTGTTCCAGTACGTCTGGAATGAATTGACACCCTAGCCACAGAGCATGGACCTGTGTGCATAGCGTGCATGTATCCACACGCACGCACTCACACACGCACCCCCACACACACGCGGATACTCTTCGTGGGCCAGGCCCTGGCACTCACTGTGAAACCGCCAATTCTAAACCAAAGGAGCCCACTCAGCAGTGGCCTTGCTGCCCAGGACCCTTGCAGGGCAGACGCTGGGGAGGGGCTGCCCTCAGATGGCTGGAGGCCAGCCCCTGCGATCAAACGCTGATGATGGTGACTGTTCTGGAACCAGGCTGCCCCGTGGGCCAGCACTTCCCCACCTGAGAGCTCTTCGGTCTGAGCTCATCTGCTGGCGGCTTCCCTCCCGGGTCCTGCCTGGCGTTTTCTCCCCCAGTTCCACTCCTGGGGAGCCCCCGGGCCAGGCAGGTTCCAGATGGTGGAGGGTGGAGAGGGTGAGGACTGAAGCGGGGAGAGGCGGAGACTCTCAGCAAAAGTGGGAGAAAAGCCTCCCATCAATTTTCCTTCCTCAGAACCTTGTCTGGGTCTGTCTTCCAGAGCCTGCATCACCAAGCTCATCTCATGTTTACTGAAAAGCCTGTTTGATCGGAGTCTCTCTTCACCAGACTCCAATCTCGTCTGCTTTCATTCACGATTGCATATTATTTGTTTAAGGAATGAATGAATGGAGGTATTTTTGGTTTTGCCTTCCTCCCTGCACAAGCTCAGGGGACCATCCCTGGGCAGGGAGTAGGCCTGGGCTGGGGACTGGCATCCTCGAGGACGGACCTCAGGACTGCTTAGAGAACCTCGTTTGGGAGGAGGCGCCAGCTTGGAAGAGGGGAGCCTGGGTCCTTCTACAGGGAGTATTTCAAGGAACGATGCTGGTGACTACCTCCTAAGGAGGAAGGACCCACGAGGCCCAATGATGATCTCAGAAAGTTTCTGAAACAGTAGCCAGGGATCCAAAATTTTAAAGACAGTGAAAGATTCTTTTTTTTTTTTTTAAGATTATTTATTTATTTATTTGAGAGAAAGCGAGCACAAACAGGGGGAAGAGGAAGAAGCAGGCTCCCCGCTGACCCGGGAGCCCCAATGTGGGCCTCGACCCCAGGACCCTGGGATCATGACCTGAGCCGAAGGCAGACACTTAACCGACTGAGCCACCCAGGCACCCCAAGACAGTGGAAGATTCTAAGGCTTGTGTGTGTGTATAGTATGAAAATAATATATGTGTAAAAATATATATATAACTTTTAAGTTTAAAAAATTACACAGATAATACACAAATACATTCACATTACAAAGCAATGGCAACCATCCCTGAAATAAATGGAACAAAAATGGGTGAGGCGCCTTCTCCTAGTCCCCTTCTCCCACCTTCCCTCCCAGAGATGGCCATTTCCAACAACTGGCCACATCCCTCCCTGCCTTTCCTCTGTGTTTTCATACAAATTAGGTACATATAGGTATAGGTCGCTTTGATTGTTTACATCAGTGGAGATAGATAGGTAGAATTGTTTGGCAACTTGTGTTTTTTCTTTTTATAGTATATGTTGGGGATCTTTCTGGATCAATGCACCCAGCACCTCCTCATTTGTTTTAATGCTTTCACAGCGTTACATTGGATGGATGTTCCATAATTGATCTAACCAGTCCCCTGTGGGTGGACTTTTTTTTTTCTTAAGATTTTATTTATTTTTTAACAGACAGAGACACAGCAAGAGAGGGAACACAAGCAGGGGGAGAGGGAGAGGGGGAAGCAGGCTTCCCGCCCGATGCGGGGCTCGATCCCAGGACCCTGGGACCATGACCTGAGCCGAAGGCAGACACTTAACGACTGAGCTACCCAGGTGCCCCAACTTTTTTTTTTCCCCATGCTTTGCTCTCACAAAGAGTGCTACAGTGAATATACCTGCCCCTGTAATTTCATCCCTGCGTGTGTACACCTATTCCTAAAAGTGGAATTGCTGAGTTAGTTGTGACTTTGATGGATGTTGCCAACTTGCCCTTCATTAGAGGTAAACCTCATTCTTTTAACCAAAGCGTATTCAGTGTCAACATTTAACCACCGTAACTAGAGAGAGATGAGAAAGGCACTGTGGCTCAGTACGTGCAAACCAACGCGGCCTGTGGCTGGTGGCTGGGAAGGGCTTGACTCCTGCGGGGAGCTCAGCGGTGAGAGGGAGGTATATTCGCTCCAGCTAATTCCCGAAGAAACCATTACTGGTCCAGAGTTTTACAAAGTGTATTTCTGTGTCTAATCAATCTTGCTTAACCCTATTGAATGAGGAAGGGCAATATCACCTATTTTTGTCCCATTCTGTGGATGAGTAAACTGAACGTTGAAAGAGTCAAAATCAAGGGACCAGCATGCTCAGGCTCTGAGTCTCCAACATGTCAACTGCTTTCCCCTTTCACTTCCTGTGTCTCTCCACTCTTGCCACCCCCTCTACACCAAATCCTCCCCAAATAATGCTGCTTTCAGGATGACCCCCCAAGCCACATCCTCAGGCCCCAGCAAACCTAGGAATATGTAATGAGATGAGAGGTAGTGAGGATTTGCCTGAAATATACCCCCGA